TGCTGCCGCTGCTGCTTACACTGGTGTTGCTGCTTCTGATGCTGCTTACTGGCACCGCTCGTATTCTGTTGCCTTCTGGCTCGGCTGTGGCGACTGTGTCCTCAGCTTGACTTTAAATAATGCCTGCGCTGCAGCTTTGGCTTCTGGCTGCAGACTTGCAACTTGAAATGCTTGCGGTGGCTGCCGCTGTTGTTGTTGTTCCTGCTGCTGCTGCTGCTGCTGCTGCTTATGTCCTTGGATTGCGCACTTGCCGCCTACCATCCAAAACGCCCGAACATAGACGCTGAACTTCTTCAATGGCAAATGCATGCTGCTAAGGGCTAAGGGCTGCTTCTGCTACCACATTGCGAACAAACAGCTTTACACGCTTGGACTGAATCCCCACTGACATGCTTGCGCTGTCTTGGAAAACACTCTGCAGATGCAATGCGCAATTGCCACCCATGCAAACATGTTGCCGCGTACATATTGCACATGCTTCAAGCACACAGCGCAAAACGTGCTTGTTGGTTTTGCTGGAAAGAAGGGCCTCTGCCCGCCCGCAGTTGTAGCAGCATCCAACCTGCCCGACAGCAGACGCAACAGATCTTCTCTTCGGACTGTCTTGCGCAACAAAACTCATGAACTGGACAGCGTGCATCCCGAGAAGATTTGCAAAGGCTTTTGCACCGAAGCAAAACGTGCCTGAAATCTGTCATAATCACATAATCAGCATCTGCTGCGTGGCATAAACTGCTCGGCTGAAGCCGTGAAGCAGGAGCCAACTCAATCCAAAAAACCATGCCTGCGCATGCTTTCTAAAATGCCCTTGAGCTCAGCTCTCAAGCCAGGCGCGCAATGATTTCGCAGTCGTGCGAAATCTTACAAGTCAGACTTCTCACCATAATTCAGCAAACGAGCTGCTGGCGCTTCTCCATTCTCGGCCAAGCTGCCCGTGCCCGTGCCTGTTGTCTCCTCTGCTGCAGAACTTGCCAGGAAGAAGTCGCGGTCATCCTTGTCATAGGCGCTGCCACCAACGCGCGCCAGAAAATTCTTACCTGACATCAAATTGACTTAGCTCAAGTCGTCAGGCGCCAACCCTCTATGGAGCCATTCAAAATGAAAAGATAAACAGAGTGCAGTCAGGCAGCGTGTTTGCTGGCTGACGTCCTCGGCTTGATCCGGAGAGCGACCGGGAAGTCCTCCATGGTAAGTCACCGTCATTGGGGCTTCGATGTGGAAGTCACGTGGTCGCTTGCGCGGCGGCAGTGGCAATGCCTTGGCTCCAGCAATCTCACCTGTGCCGGTCTCATTGGCAGCGAGGTCGCCAAATGCATCCTGCATCTGCACATTCATGCTGCCGTCAGCTGAGCTGCCAGGCAAGAGGACGATGTTCTTGCAACCGGAGAGGGTCACGTTCTGCAAGCAAACAATCTTGTCATGCTGCTGTCCTTGACACACTGCCTTCTTCATGTCTGGCGAAGCGGCTGCCTTGCCCTCTTCACCTTCCAAGGGTGTGGCCATCGCGCTCTGCTTACAGGCTCTTACGTGGCCGAAGTCACACGACACAAAGGCTAGAGCCAGAAATCGGCAAGCGCCAAGGGTCATGATTGGGCCTAGTTTCTTCACAAACTACGCGCTGTGTACCAACACTGGAGAACTGACAAGGCACCACCACTAGAGCTGGCCTCATCTGTCTGTCTGCAGCAATTTCAGCAACATTCAGCTCGTCACTGGCAACCTGCGTGTGGGCCGTGTGGGCGCATAACATGATATCTAAGGCTTGGCTTACGTCATGCACTGAATCATGCACTGCTTGCACCGCCATAACAGGTCATAACATAACAACTGCACACTGCATTGGAGACTTGCAGAAGCAATGCCAGTGAAGTCGCTGCAGACATGAAAGAAATTTGCCATGGCAATTGCGTCCTCTTGTCCGCAGCGCGAGAAGACAGCGTCAGCCTACAACGGAAATATACAGCTGACTTATGACTTATGCCCAAGTTGGTGTAGGAAGCAAAAGTGCCGGCGCTCACACCCGCAGAACCCTTATCCTATATATACCAAAAAGCGGAAACTGCTAGGCGAAATCCTGCCTGGAAGGGCCGTCTGTAGAAAAGCCCAACAGCACGGACACGTACTTGTGCCCGCAGCCCTCTGCAATCTCTGCAAAGCTTGCTGACTGAGCAGAATGCTCGCGGATTATGCTAACGGCTAAGTTTGTGCAAATGGACTACATGTTGTCAGCTCACTCTTTGCTTTGCTCTTGCGAACCAGCGGCGTCCCCATGATGTCGCAAGCGCGTGCTCCTCGACTAGCAGCTGCCTGCGCCAGCTGCAGCATGTTGTCCGGAGCCTCTGTCTCATTTCGCCTTAGTTGGGGGTGGGAGAACTGGATAACCTTCTCGCCCTGATGAACCCGCCCATGGCAAACTTGAATCATGAGTAATTACGACACTGCAAGGCACAAGAAAATGAATGGAAGGTCATCATGCAGTATATCGTTGTCGCGGAGCTGTGTGACAGCATGCGTTTGCATGTAAGCTTGCGCTCGTGCACCATTGAAGAGCTGCAACGCCGGTGCCACTTCAGAAGGCAGCAAGGACAATCCTGCACAGGATTGCCACGCTGCTCTGCCAGGCCACAAACACAACACTTGGACTCATCTTCCAGGCCCAAGGATTGAATGCCATCGACTGCATCAAAGGCTGTGCGGAACATAGATCTCAGTCGCAGAGCATCTGGAGCGACTGTGTCTCTTTCCTTTTTCCGCACACGTGCCCCTGCGTTGGGGACTACAAAAACACACCCACCAAACTCGCGCTTTGGAAGGAAGTTCGAAGGAACCATGACTCTGTTTTGGTCGTCCAAATGAACCACACGACCCTTGAGGTCTCTGAATGGCTTCACAAACGCCACAAAATCGATCTCCACAGCATCTCCTCCAGAATGCACTAGCAACGCTATCTGGTTGTTCAGTTGCGCATCTAGCTCGCATGGGTCAAATGTATGGAGACTCTTGGCCATCAACTGCATGCTATCACTGCTCTTGCCTACTGCTGAAGCCCACAAGGACAAGGCGTTGTCAATAGCAGCAGCATCGAGACCGCAAGGTATCTCTGCATCGTCAGGGCCCGGTGAAGCTGCTGGCGGTTGATCCTGTCCCTCAAGCAAACGCTCCAGGAGATCTTCCTCTGTCTCATTGGGCTCGTTGCTGCCGACGCTGCCGCTGGCACCCTTGGCGGAGGCGCCGTCTTGCTCTTGCCCGGGCTGCCCGTGCTCTTGCGCTCGTTCGGCTGCTGCTGCTAGGAACCGATGATGCAAGTTTTCCATATCCTCAATGTCCGCCCTGTCTTGGCCAGATACTGGTTCATCCTCACAATCATCTGTACCGTGGAGTGCAGAAAGTGCTTCCCGCACATCCTCCTCATACTCGCCATCTGAATTTTCGCTGCCCTCTTCTTCTGCTGTATCCTGGTCTCGGAGGATTCCAAGTGCTGGAGCATCTTGTTCCGGCTGGCTGTGTTTGACGCGTGCCTTACTGACAGACAACAGGAATTGAAAAATGATTATGGGTTCTGCCCATCGACCCCTCTACTTAAAATCATTTACCGCAAGCGTTTCCGTAAATCAAAAAAAACTTCACAACTTCACAACTAACTCCCAGGCACACGCTTAGCCTTTAGGTCCAGCACTGGAATTGTGCTGGTCACTTGAAGAACCACTGCGCCCGAACATGCATCCTGTACTTGTTGAAATTTGACAAGAGACATCTTGTTCACTGGCCGGGCAGAGGTCTCAGGAATCTGTTGGGCAATGGTTTTGACACCCAACTGAAAATCCAAGGGTGTTGGCACTTGGTGCACGTTCCCAGCTCCCCCATCTGCGTTGCATGTACATAGGGCAACCCACCAAGAACTCTTAGCGGAAAGTTCGGCCAGCAAAAAAACTTTTGCCGGCGACCCAGAAGTTTGGAAGCTCACACCAAGCAGCAAGCTCAACTGCTCCGCGCTTTCGCTTCGAGCAGCATGGAATTGCTTCACCAATTGGCTGTGAAAGCGCACAGCATACTTCTCCAGCGATGACATGACCAGCGCAGGGTTATGCTTCTGCACATTGCCTTCAGGCAATGTCTTCGGCTCAGGCGGGCTCCACCGGAAGGGCTCCGAAAGAACCTCGTTCTCTTTGCCTTGATAGAGGATGGATGATCTGGCGAATTCCTCTGCCACAGGCTTTACATCCTTCAATCTCGTGCTTCCTCCAGACAACATCGTGACTGTCTTGCGCGTGTTCACCCTGCTTGACAGCAATTCCAAAGACATGTTGGAATTGTTGGCTTGCGCCATGGAAACCTTGATCATTGAGTTCAGGGACTCAAGTGCGCCTGAGTCCAATTTCACTTGCAGAGCCGTCATGGCCAGTATGCCGTGCAGGCAAGTGCCAGGCTTCAGCTGCCCTGTCTCTTGGACATCTTCCAATTCTTGCCTGCATCGTTTCTTGATCTTCAGGGTTGTGCATTCCAAATTCGCATCCGCTTCCCGTAGCAGTTGCGCAACAATGTTCTTCCTGGCTTCCATGGAGGCATCAAGAGGCTCTGCCAGCAGGCGAAAGAGCGGCCATGGCCACCTGACACGCAAATCAATCTCTCGCCATCTATGCCCTGTTAGATTACAGTATGGGTATCCGTGCTCATGCTTGGCATCCATATCCATCACACTGCGCCTACCTGCTTGCCAACGCGGATTCATTCAAGGCAACAAAACCAACAACAATGAGGCCCATGATGGTAGCTAACGACTACAGCAACCGCAGCGGTGATCACTCACTGCAGCAGCATAGGCAACTGCAGCCGCAATAGCCGCAAAGTAGGAGCAATGCACAATGAACCAATGAACTCTTCCAGCACCACCACCGCCAATAACCACAACTTCAACTTAACTACAGCCACCCGCCATCATCACCACCACCGCCACCACCACCACCACCACGACTTACAACTTACAACCACCAGTCGTTAAGTTACAGAAACATGCGTTCACAATTGGCCCACCTGTCAAAAACGTTGCAAACTCTTCGCTGGAAGGCCGACGCGTTGTGCAACAGCAGGACCAGTGCCACATCTCGGCCATCTTTGCGCATTTGCTGCCTCTGCTCTTGAGCGCCCGGCACATGGGCAATCTCATCCAACGCCCTGGAAAGCATCTTGCCCATATTCAGGAGCGCATCCCTGAAATTTTTGGAGACCGCATCCAAATCTTCGCAAACCAAAGCGACCACTGGCATGCTGTTCTTCGCCGGGTCTCGATTCAAGATTCGGTAGAAGTGCAGCAGAGGAGCCCGCGTTTCATGACCCAACCTCATGACGTACCAAAACCACGCATCTTCGGCGGCGCGCAATGTGTTCTGAATGTACTTGCCTGTTTTCTGTTGATACACCTTCGAGTCATCAAGTGAGAGCTCATCCAACACACTACCTGCTTGCTGGCCGTCAGTGATGGCAGGGACAGCTGCTACAGCAGCATTGCCGCCTTGTCGGAAAGCAGCTGTGAGAACTTCACAGACATTTGCGGCCCCTGCAGTCAAGTAAAACTCTTCAGCACCTCGTGTGGAAACCACATACTTTAAATCAGGTTGCAAGTCGTGCTGGGCCGGACTCAAATTAGGGCTGGAAGCTACGCTACTACGCTACTACAAAAAAATGGTTTAAACATTCATTTGTAGAGCATGGCCAAAACTGAATTACAAAAACTGCAAGCTATCAGATCATGGCACCAACGGCAACCCTTGATTCATATTCTCAGCTGGGGCACTGTCAATGCTTGCCCAGCGGCCAGCGATAGCTACAGGCGGCACGCGAAACAGAATTTCCTTGTTGCCCAACTTGCCGTCGTGCGAATGCAACTGTTCCCACTGGCTTCGCACTTTTTTCAGATGCCCCCGCCAACTGTGCGACATAGTGGCTACGGAAGTGAAATACTTGAAGCGCTTGCCCAACAATCGCAGGCAGGTGTCCATAAGTGACAGCTGTCCTCGTGCTGCCAGATGAAATTGGTGCTTCAGGCACGCGAGAGAGAAGAACAACACAAACTTGTAGTCATCACGCGTGAAGAGGGTGTGCAAGCTACTTCTGAAACCGACCTGATCTGGCCCTGCGTCGCCAACGTTCACCAGGATGTGTAAATAGCCATCAGGCAACTCTTTGTTCCTAAGCTGCAGTTGATCTTTCCATACTTGAAGTCGACGAATTGCAATCCCTATCCTTATCCGTATTTTATCCCAAGAACTGAATGAACTGAACACATAGTACTGCCCTTTGGCCAGGGTGCTGCGTCAGGTCGCGCAACTTCTCCCAGTCTCGCAAACCCACAGCTGCAAATTGCTTCAAGACATGCCGTGATTGCCTGCTGCCGTGCCGGTTGCACAAACTTGCAATTCTGACCTTCCAGAGCGCAAAACAACTGAAGAACCAGCGTCACCCTTTATCATTTAGTTCCACAAAGGGAAAAAAACATGCTAGCTCATTTTGCCCATGCCACATACCACGCCATGTCCGAAAAGCCTTCGACAACTGGTTTGCGCACAACGCTTTCCAACTTACCATGAAGCAAGTCGCAAATTCCAAGCCTTGAAGCTTCTGCCGATGCCATATTGATGAGTTCGTGGCATCGCCGCACCAATACGTAGCGGCCAGCGCAAACGTTTGCGGACCATCATGCACTTGCCGACCTTGCCTCCCACAACAGGTCATTGCAGCGCTAGATGCCTGATCTCCCTCCGTGTGACAAGGAAGGCCCATGTCAGCGTGCAAAGCTGCATCTTGCGAAGCAAGTTGAGGCTCCGCAACGTTCTGCTGAGCGCCATCATGCACAACCAACTGTAAGCCCGAACCCCTGTCACCGTCCACACGTGCGCCAGACATACGCAGCCACTGAGCCAAGCACCGCCGCAGCGCAAATGCGTAGTCATGAAAACAGCGGTGCCTGGCCAGCACGTGGGCCCAAACCATTACCTCACATCGCGTGACGGTCCAACGCGACGATTCCACAAGCGATGCCAATGGAAACGAAGAAGCTGAAACGAGGCAAATAGACTTCCGTAGCCCAATTGCCACAAAGCCTTTCCAAGTGAGTCGGTGGCCTTTGTGCCGGACGATATCCAAAGCACTTGCAGATTGCTCACGCTGCGCCAGCTGCTTTTCTTTCTGCTTCACCAGCTGTTCTCGCAATCTTCGTATGGACTGGTTCTTCATCGCAATGCTTTTCTTCCATACAATTGCCTTCGAATTCGCCTGCACGATAGTTTGAGCTTGCAACTTTGCAAGTTGTTGAAGGTCACCACAATTTTCAGACTGAACTATCACAGCTTCCCTGGCTGAAGGTTCCAGTGCGCATAGCTGCTGCACACCCTTGGAGGAAAGAAACTCTGCAAGATTGCGTATCTCACTGCTTTGTGATGGTGCAGCCACCGCATGTCCCGATGTTGACTGGCGCGCGGTATTGGCTGCAGACACGCTTGCCCACCGGATGTTAATGTCAATATCTTGTGTTGCTTCAGGCTGCATCGGAAGTTCACGAGGCACATCCGCAACATGCGCCTCCTCCATTGCGGAAGCAGGCCGTTTGCACCGCTGCATGTGTTGAGATTTCGACACAAGCTCGGCAGCAACCATTGTTTCCCAGCGACTGCTGTCATCATCAGTCATTTCGAACCCGGCACAGGCCATCATAGAAGGAACTTCTGACAACTTGTACATCACGCCAGACGATGTCTGCACAGTGGCCTGAGGGCACAAGGAGATACCGGAGATACTGTGAGAAATAGGCTAGGAAATTTGAAGCTGTTTAAGTTGTTGATGGTACAAAAGAAAGACGCCTCTGCAAAAGCTTTTGATCTCTGCAAGCGAGCGAAATTGTAGCCTGCTGAAAGATCTTTCAACCTGAGACAACCCTTGATTCATTATACAAATATTTCAGCAAAAACATGTAAAAAACCACTGTAGCCTTCTTTGACCGCTTCAGCAAAGGCCAACCAGAAAACATCTTGATTTTACTGACAAGGGTCTGCGCCCATGTGCATCGCAACTCGCCATCTTGATACCATGAAAATTGAAGCAGCCGTTTTAAACGGCTTTGCAGCCCTTCCATTGCATTGGCAGGCGAGTCGCGACGTTTCTAAACACAAGTTCTCATGTGAACAGCATCAGATGGTCTATAGGAAGTTCAAAACCATGTGCATATCCAGAAAAAACCGTATGGCTGCATATCCGATTCAGTGGCATGATTCTTTTGATCTTGGGCAGCTGGTTGCATCCATTTGGCTCAAAAATAACTAAGTTCGCAAGAAAAAATGCATCTCCTTCATGAAATGGAATGTGTGTCCTCTGTCGGCAATGGTTTAAACATTGGATCCCTGAGTGCCGAGTTATTACTGGCAGCCTCCCAAGAAATATGACGATGCCCAAAAAAATCGGCAGCTCCTTTAAAATCTTGGCTCCGGATCATGGTAAGAGGCCCCCCGGCCCCTATCAGAACCTCTGCCCAGAGAACCCCTGGTATGCATCACACCCACACCCACTTATGCACGGGCTTAGTGGTTAATCAGGAAGTTTCAGCATAGATCCCTTTGGCAGTCCATATGTCGTCCCTTGTAATGACTAACCCCTAGATCTTAGTGAATCATTCCCTGTCCTAACCACCAATAAAGGAAGTCCCTGTCCATTCCATCACCATCAGCCATGGTTCGCTGCCCTGTGGGCCAGCCACCCGCCCGAGCCGTCGGCCAGTGGTTCGATGTCATTTCCACCTACACAATCAGGAGAATTACACCCAGCATATCTTAGAACTTTCTACGGACTAGGTGGGGCAACTGGGGAGACAAATTGTGTGTACTTCTTTCTCATTCCTGCTCTTGCTGCTTGTCCTGCTCCCCTAGTTTTGTTGCAACGACCACAAGGGCAACGGCAACGACGACAACGACGACGACAATGATGACAACAAGAACGAGAACAAGAACACAAACAAGAACCACAAGGAGGATGATAACTCCCAACTCGATGCGCTTCAGCTCAGCAGGTCGTCTGGCCTTCCAAGCTGTACTGCGCCTCCTCCTCCGACGAGCTGCCCAAGCCTTTCCTTCCAAGGAAGGCAACAGCCACATTCCAAGAGATGCTTTCGAAATTCCTAGAAATCTCACGACAGCTTGCTGAAAGGCTGATAAGCTTGACGGCAAAATTGAGATAAAGAAGAGTTCCTGGAAGTCCGTAATTAGGTGCTTGCATTTGCAAGCTCCGGAAAGTCCTCAGCGTCCGGCTGCCGCCAAGACTGCGCACCAGAAGCCCGACAGCTGGGACCCAAACTGCTGCCCCTCGGATGTTGAAGGTGCAGCCATGATGAGGCACCGATTTGGGAAGAGGTTAAAGTTGACATCTGCGTGCAAGAGTGCAAACCTCATTGCAGTTGCAAGACTACTTTTGGCCACTGGGCTCGCTACTATTCTCTGAAGCACGAGGAAGATGCAGCAAACATCGAGGCCGGGTGGCCAAGGTGGTTTGGACCGGGACGCCCTGGGCGCGGGATGCCAAGAAGTCGGCCCGACCCTGGCGCCAGCGTCCAAGCGTTGCCCGGCCGAGGAGCCAGGGACCTCAGTGCCGGCCTGGTCAGCTGGAGCATGGCACCGTTTGAGAGCCTGCTTCGCTACTGGAATGCAGGACAAGCTTGTGGGTCTTGGCAGCTTTGGTGCTTCAGGCCACCACTATCACTACCGTGCATGACTGTCACAATCATCACGTCTGAGCAAAGCGCTGCAGAAGATGCCCAGGCTTCATCCCCACTCAGCTCCACGCTGAAGTCAGCGTTGCAACAAGCATCCGTCTACTTGCGTATGACAAAAAGTCTTGGCGTGGCTGATGCAGACTACAATCCTAGTGGCCAAAAAGGGGGATCTGGCTTGAAATTCTCCAGAATTCTGCTCCACGATGTTGAGCATATCTACAAAAGTATCATTTCAGACACAAACCCTCCAAGATAAGGATCTCAACTTACAGAGACGCCAGCTGTTTTGTTCTCGCCTCCCTGCTCCGCAACACGCAGGAAGAACAAACGGCCCACCGAACATCTGCTGAGACCGTGGAGCTCCTTGACGTGTAGGACACGCTACATGGATAGACTGAGTACTGCTCCCACCCTGTGACCAGCTCTTTCTGATGCTCTGCTTCCGGATTTACGTGCTACTGTAGGATGTTCAAGCGTTTCTGCGATTCTGCGAAGATGCGTGTTCCATGTCTGCTTCCAATCTATCATTTTATAGAACCACGTCGAAGGCTATTCCCTTGTTAGGAGCAGTCTGGCCTCATCATGCTACGGTGGACAAGGCGGATTGAAATCATTGGCCGCAAACCATATTGAACGTTTCTATCGTGGCACATGAGGCAGGATTCCAAAATTCACATATCATCACATATGGGTATCCCTAGGGTCCGACACATATATGATCCCAGCAAAGACCGTCACCACACAAATATGTCCGCGGCTCATGAGGACTAGGCTGACCCCGGCATCCTCTAACCTTCACTCAGGCAGATCTTTGCCGGGCGTGTTTGGCCGGCAGTGAAGGGATGCCCAAAGGCCTGGAAAGCTGCTGTCCGGGTTCGCCAGGGAGCCTGCATCTGAAAGTTTAGGGTTTAGGGTCCAGGGTTTGAGACTTCTCCAGTCTACCCTGCTATGACGGGTACCCCGCTGATAGAGCAGAGTTTTTGGGAATGCAGGAGGATGGAACTTCTCCACATGCGATCCCCTGGCAAATCAGCGACATGCGGCAGCAAAGGTGCTGACACGGGCAGCGGACCATGTTTTTGTTGTCGTTCTACTTTGTTCTATCCATGCACTTTGCCTCCCATTCTCACAATGTCCTGTAGTTTCCATGTTATTTTCCAGTATCCCTAAAGCCCCAATATACTATAGTAGTTTCCATTTTCTTTCCCATTATCCCCACTATAGTGAAGCATATAGCTTGGTTTGGTCATACCCCTGCAGCACGTGGACTTCAACCCATCAGCGACCTCACCTTGACAGAAACAGAAAGGCTGGGAAAGCCGAGGGTGTGCAATGATGTTACAATGTTCCATGATGCTATAGTGGGGACAATGGGAAAGAAAATGGAAACTACTATAGTATATTTGGGTTATATATAGTAGGGATAGTGGAAAATAAACTGGAAACTACTATATAAGGGGGCCTTCCTTCGCATAATGTCATTGCAAGGCCTAACTGATTGCTATGGGACACCTCGATGGCCAAAGAGAAGAGAAGCTTGGCAGGTCTCCACTACACAACTTAGGGACACTTAGCGATATATAGGGATTACATAGGGACATATGGGGATATATAGGGACTACATAGGGTTAGGGATATATAGGGACTACATAGGGATATAAGACCCAATACAGGACATTAGTCCAAGTAGGGCAGCAACCAAGAAATCTAGGGGGCGTACAGGGGCTTCTCTTCTGCACAGGCCATGAAGCGTCAGGAATGCTGACTGCAGACACATCCACCGAAATTCCAGCGTCGGTTTGCAGCGGTGCCGTCTGCAAGGATACCGCATACTGTATAAGGCCAGAAGAAGTACAATTGGGTTGGACGATCCATTATACTATTATTATATAAGGATGATGACATCACACTATCTGAGTTTACTGCTCCTGTATGGGGTTCATCAGGTCCATGGCAGAGAAAATGCACACTGCAAGCT